ACCCCTAGTAGCGTCCTTGCTCGTAGTAGTAAGGCCAGGAGCCCCTAGAGCCCTAGTCCTAGCGCAATGCAACAATGATGGTGAACCAAAACTGGAAAAGGCGGTTAAAAAACGATTCATTGGCCCCTTCCATGGAAGGTGGCGCCAAGCGGATGACGAGCAGTTGGGCCGCCCCTATATGGATTCAAAAGGCACGGCCGCCGAGTACAGTTCTTGTCTTGCTTGGAGGCGAAAAAACCCCATCTTGGAGTGGCCAAGTTACTGGTTTCCTAGACGGCCGGTGAAACGCTCCCAAACGCTCAAAATATCAAGACAGTCCTTTTGATAAATCCAGGGTCTGTCCAACAAGTAGCTTTCAGTGGGACACATGGCCCTCTGGCCATCTTTGACTACGAAGACTGAACTGCGCTGGTTCTCCAGTGTTCTCCCGTTTTCCAAGAGTCAGAAAAAGCCAACAAAGCAATCCGAGGGGAGCACCGCTAACTAAATCACCCAAAGGATGGCTTCGGGTTTATTGCTTCTCAGCCTCTCTTGGCCCCTTGTGCATGGCAAGACCCTATACACCACAGACCTTCCAACGGTTGTCTAAATTGTCCAGTGGCAGGAATTTGTTTGCAAATGATTGGAAGGCCTGGTCCCGGTTGTCTTCGGTTGATGTTCCTAGATTCCTATAGGTCTAATGTACTTAAACGTTTAACCGCAACCGCTCAACCGGGTTCAACGACCAAAGAAATGAAGCGAGGCCCTACTACCAATAAACCAGTGCCCACCAACTAACCATTGATACTTGGGTGCTTCACAGACGTCCCGCTCACAGACCTCTAGAGATCCCTGCTCGCCGACGGACCGCGCGCCCGCGCAAAGCTTTCCGTTGGATGAAGTGTCAACCACCAAACCCAAGAACAATAGCAAAGCCTTTTGCGGCCTTACTAGGGGGGCTTCCAACGAGCAATGGCCGTGTAATGTTTGAGCGCTTTTTGAACACTGGGCTGTCACACAAGGGGTTTTGAAAAGCTATTCAACGGGCACTTGGTCAACCCCTGAAAAGGGCCAACCCAAAAGTTGAACCTCAAGGTTCATTTGGGCCAATCATCCCGGCTTCACTGTTCACATCACGGCGTCAAGGCTCTCCACCGCCTCCAAATCCACGTGGCAGAGGCGAGCGCAGTCCGCCCGCGTTTATGGCGAGGGTGGGTTTCTCGCACCGGAGCGCTTATAGGGATTGAGAACAAAAAACACTTGAGATCACTTCCCGTTCCCACTGTGCTCAATATCGCTGGGGGTGGATTTCAACCGCTTTTTACTAGTCTAAGGGGTTGGCGTTATGTTCTTGTTGGGCAGTTGTGAAACACCACAGCTCGCCTGCAGATTGTTCCATAGTACTGGCCAGCTCCGCGCGTTTTGCAAGCATCTTCAGAAACATTTTGTTGCCATCGGTGTCGTCCAGGATCCGCCGCCAATATTCAACAAGTGTCCCTTTCTCGTGCATGTCTAGCAGGCTGTTCTTTTGGGGTTTCAAATCAGACAATTGAGCCTTCCCATCTAGCAGGTCAGCAGCGATGGCTTTCAAAATTGCCATAGCATCAAAAGCTAAGATGGTCGGAGGTTTGATCACTATCTGAAGTTTCTGGGACCACTTTGTTTCATCTTTTCCTTTGAACATCAGAACCACAATTGGGGACCGGCCCTTTTGCGGCTTCAACACTGTCTTCGCTTCCCCAATCTCCTCATTCACCGCAGTCTTCTCAGCCATCATCAGTTGTAAATCCGGGTGACTCGAAATTGGGTCATCAGCAGACACACCAGCGGCGGATTCTTTGGGAATCGGCGCCGGCTTGGGCTTGATGCCACGCTTGGCTGCCAAATCTTCCTAAGCTCCGGGATTCAATCCACCACAGGTTGAGGGTGGGAAGACGAAACCAGATGTTAAATAGTCGAAGTTGGAAAGGAGGCTTGTTAGTTCCCCTTCATGGACCCATACCCACGTACAACAGGATAATTGGTGTTGAAAAATTCTTTGCGTAGAGAGTGCACCATGGTGATGTGGTCAACGACAACGCGCATACCATCTTCAAATTCGCATATGATGGACACATCAGGATTGGGTTCGAGGGAAAACTCAACTGGACCCCGGAGAGTCTTGCCCCGAATTTCCTTCCGCCACGCCCGCATACTCTCATCGTTCCAGCCCGTCTCATATTCTTTCGCGGGCAACTCTGGGGCTGGCTTGCTTGGAGGCACAATTGCGGGCGCACGCGAAGAGCTGGGGCGTGGGTGACCTCAGTCGAGGGCAGGGCGGCGCGCGTGGTTGCGCGCCATGGCAATTTACATCTGATTTGTGGGTATAGGCACTTTGGCCCCGGACTCAATGAATGTCTCAATTTCAGCAGGAGAACTGTTTAGGGCAGGAGTTGGCGTTGAACCGGGCTTTCAAGAAATGGCAGCTTTCCATAAAACAGGGCAATGCCACGTAGCAAGGCTAATCAAGAAATAACTGTTCAAAGGATTTGTGAGAGAAGCGTTGCCAACCAACAGCGGAAAGGTTCAAGGCCAACTGATAGGTCTGTAGGTTTTTGGCCAAGTTCAAACAGTATATCACTTCCAAAATGCTGGACAGGATCTTCCCCCTGGCAAGCGTTAGCTTGCGCGCAACCCCCCTTTCAAAAGCTAGCGGGGTCGCCGAATCAACTTCTGAACGCTGCTTAGGATCCACCAGATGGGCGCATAATCATCTCCTCGACCAGGGAACCAAAATCGGGCCCGCCGCCAAACATGTCCTCAGATGATCGGTGAACTTGCCCAAACCCTTTAAGATTGGGCGTTGACTATTTTGTGTCGATTGTTTTGCGAGTGTTTTTGGCGCCGGCCTAGTGCACGAAACACAAATCAAAAACACACGCGCACACACACACAAACAAACATTTTGGAGCCAAAGTGAGAAACTGCCATAAGATCAAATTCGTGCTCCCCAGTAGATGGCTTCTCAGGTTTGCTTTTTGTTTTGGCTGCTGTTCGGGGCTGGGTGTTGCGCTGGCTTCCAAGCTCAGCGGATGACTTGGAGCGCTTGACTGGTTGAAGTTCTGGTGGCTTGGTTTGCTTCTGTTCTTTTTTCTGCTTGGGCTTGGGGGATGAAATCCCGCTCAAATCTGGCTTGGGCGGTGATGGACGGGTGGCTGCTGCACTGGACTGGTTGCCTTGAGAGGCTGCTGGTTGAGGCTCAGGATCTCTACATTTTCTCAATCTCTTGAAAGGTTTCTCCCCCCCCTCTTGGTCGTCTGCGTCTGCACCACCCTTTTTTGCAAACCTCTCTAGCCTCTCCTTTCTCTCTTGTTTTTTTCTCTTTTTTCTTCTTTGGATTCTTTGGCTTCTTTGTCGCCTTTGCCGTCTTTTTCTTCTTTGTCTTCTTTGACACTTTTATCTTCTTTGACTTCTGTGTCTTCTTTGCTTTCTTCGCCTTCTTTGTTTTCTTTTTCTTTGTCTGTGTCTTCTTTGTCTTCTTTGTCTTCTTTGTCTTCTTTGCCTTCTTTGTCTTCTTTGTCTTCTTTGCCTTCTTTGTCTTCTTTGTCTTCTTTGTCTTCTTTGCCTTCTTTGTCTTCTTTGCCTTCTTTGTCTTCTTTGCGTGTTTTCTTCTTCTTTTGATCGCCTGATGTCTCGGCCTTCTCTGTCTCTTCTGCGCTCTTGCTCTGGCTTGGATGCACCGTCTCACCCTTCCCTCCCGTCTCACCTTTCTCTGGAACAGCTACGTATTCTTGAGTCTCTTGCTCCTCAAACTCGGGTGTGGTAGAGGTGCTGGAAGGAGAGGGTGAACTTGAGCTTGACGAGGCAGACTGGGATTTGGACTCTTCTTTTTTATTATTTGTTTCGGTTTCCTCTTCACCGTCTTGTTTTTTGTAACGCTTGCCCGCAACTCCAGTCCACATATCCTTCAATGGGGGTGAACTACAGGGTCCCGTGCGCACGCTTACTACAAACACGTCAGAACGTTTTGAGCAAGGGTCGCAAACAATGGTAAACAATTACACA